GTAAACATAAATTACTAAACTAGGCATATTGAACGGGAGAATAAGGAACTTTCTGATTCACACGCGTGACGCTTCCTGCCTCTTTGGCTAGTCTCCGGTATGAGTCGATCTCCTCGCTGGGGGCAATCTTGATAATGATCGCGCAAGTTATCGCTTTAGACGAAAAAAAAAAAATCAGAAACTACGGACAGAGAAAGTTAGCCGGGAGGAGCCTTACCAACGAGCGAAAGCAGCAGTGCAGAATATACAGGAATAGGGCCTAAGTCCAGAATCTATGTTACATTTCAGCATACAAAACGCCTAGAGTCGCAACATCAAAGTTGCAATGGAAAAGGACTAGGCACATACGGCGGAGCTGATGACGTTTAAGGTGGTCAACGCGAGTAAACAAGCGGTCACAAACGGTGCATCTGAATTGTTTTTCAGAAGCCGGCTTCATGACTCTATTTGCGGACATTATCAGGCACGGTATTCAACACAGTTGGAGGCATGTATATGTACTCTAGATACATGGAAGCACATATATCTCATGCCGGTTGGAGAAAAGAAGAAGTGAAGTCGAGTTAGGGCTCTGAGCGGTTGGGAAGAACTAACTAGCACTAGGATAAGGCACGTGCCCAGAACGCCTCAGCTCCTTAACAAGCTGAACTTCATCAAAATAAAATGAGGAGAGAAAATGATCACTGACATGTTATAGTAGATTTTCTGACCGCGCCTAACAGCCACAAAAACCCCCACGGATGGAATTCGTGCGAGGGAAAATCACTAGCAACCACCGTGTGACAGCACTGTGCTCTTCTTATTAGCGCCCCCCGCATAGAGCTTCCATGAGCCCAGAATCCTGACTTCGGTACTGCAGGCAAGCTCAGAGTGAGCTGTTACAATTTTGTGGGGAATGCAAGGATTAAGGAAACGTCTCTAGGATACAGGATCTACCTGCGCCTCTCAGGATTGGCTTGGAAGTCAAAGAAATTGAAAAAGTCCATGTAATCCAGCATGGAAGTTCGGAGCAACTAACCTTCAATGAAAAAGAGTGACGAATATATATATATATATTTCAACTTCCTAACAAGAGAGACCTGAATGATTAATTAAGAAAATGTTCATTTTATTGTTGTTACAACCCCATGTCTACGAGTAAAACCGCAATGCCCTCCGCCTTGAGAGTTCTTGCATGGAAAGGTTGTGGCTGTAAATCCTCCAAAACAGCTTTTCAACGCGCTTCCCTCCGAATTTCGAGTTCTGTTCATGAACTCAACTTCCAAGGACTCAGTTAGCTAGGGTGCAGAAGCCCCGGCTGGATAGGTGCGATAATGCATTGCACTCAACTACGGGAAACGCATTGCAAAAGAACTATCACTGCCTTCATACGATGTTTACCTATCCGTTGTAGACCGCCCAAACCGCTACGAACGGAAACCGTCAACCCTTTTTCTCATACCCTTAATCGGCTCGATCTGTTTCCCTTGTCCGCAGAGTTACTGCGAAGCTTAAGCACGACAAACCGCCTGATGGGAAGTCTTTCGCACACATGCCCTTGACTTTGCAACGTCTGTACCATGAGAAAAGATAATGCTGTCATATGCAAATAATTTAACCTCCCTCATTGATGGAAGTCATATCCTACCCCGCAACTTTGAAATGGTTCAAACTGAATAGCGGGTTTGACACTCTCTGCACTGAATGACCAACTCGCGTAGGGTATTTTGCTTTGACAGATCAAGCCATCCATGTCATTATCGGACTAGGGAGGGAGGAAAGAATGGTAAGTAAGTGCCCTTGAAATAAATTTTTTATCCTATTTGTGATTGGCTGCAGTTTAAATAACTCTGTTTCAACTTGCGTTTAAGAGACAAACATGGAGACCATTGGTTGGAATATAGTTGGGGGAATATATTTCTTCATGGATATCTATCATTCTCTTGAGTGTGGGAATACCTTTCGAGGCGTAACGCGATATTGGAATCGAAAGGTATCTCATCTAAGTAAAATCGCTTAGTTATTCGCTAGTTGGCTAACTAGGTTAACTAGTTAGTTAACTAGTTACTGGTTAATTAGAACCCGAGTTCCTCTCTCCACAAACTTAGAACCTTTGCCAGCCACCTCTCTGGACAAAACATCATTCTTGGAACAAAATAATTCTACTACAAAACCTGAACTAACTTCAGTATTGAGCCTGGCAAATGTGTACTCCGTACTGTTGAAAAACAAAATTCGATTTTCTGCCACGTCTTCCTCAACCAGTCTTCCTCGGTGATTTTTCGCCCCAAGTCCTTTGTTATATTGCCGTAAAACAACCTCAGCATGCCAGTTCAGCATTTCAATCGTGTTCCGCAGGCTGCGGTGAATTGGCGACCAGAATTTCGGTTAACTCATGGCGAGACTCCGCTAAACTGAATAGCGAGGTTCCATCCGGCTTCTCGATATCAGTTCTTGCACCATTCTCAACCAGCACCCTGAGTACTTTCAGTTCGGCACCATACAAAGCTCCAAATAGCACTGGGGTAACCCCATCAACCGTTCTGGCTTCGAGATCTGAACCACTTTCGATCAAAATTTGAACTACTTCACATCGAACGTCGGAGTCATACGGATCTTTGGCTCCGGCGTCTGCGTCACATTCTAGCAGTTTCCGCCGGCATTGTGTCGCGCAGAACCGTGGACTCGTGCCGGGCAAACAGTTACTGCGTTCGATATTTGCCCATAGTTGGACCAGAAGTCTTCCTCTGGATGCGAGATGCAACGGGGTGCATCCGAAGACGTTCCTGGAGTGAACGCTGGCACCATTTTCAAGCAGAAAACGGACAACCCAAGGGTTACACCCCGTTACTGCCTCGTGTAAAATTGTATTACCCACATCGTTGGAAAAATTGACGTTAGCTCCATTCTCTATCAAAAGTTTGACAAGTTGCGTATCTGGTTGGTTGACTGCAGCGAACAAGGGTGTCTCTCCACTCTTGAACATACTATCGATATACGCCCCCCTTTCGAGTAAGAACAAAAGCATTGCGTCACTTTTTGGGCAAGGCATGTCATGCACGCGCAGAGAATATTGCCGCCTAGATTCATTAGGGTGGCAGGGCCTCGCAAGCCATTTCTTGATTCTATTCCGAGCACACACAGCTTCTTGGAATACATTTAAGTGAGGGCATATCTTTGCTCTGATATGGATGTTGGCACCTCCATCCAGTGACTTTCTGGCAACTTCGATATTTGAATGACGTGCTGCCCAACGCAAGGCCGAAGCGCGACGGTGTTTAGCATTGAATTGATAGAGATAAGGATCCAGAATACAATGGAAGCGTCGATTTGTCTGAGAAAACCAATTGATAGCTTTCTGTGACTGCAGCTGCTCCGCTACATAGAGGATAACTTCGGTTGGTAAAGCGGCCAGCTCCACCATTTTGATATTGAGGCCAATTTTATCACAGGTGCAAGACACGTTTTCCGTTGCGGTTGTTTTAAGAGTTAGTGAAAGCTGCTCTCGTTTGGCTCTCCCGGTGGAAAGAGTCTGATATGATTATGTTAAGTTCCGATTTTCACTTGCTCATTCTACTATCTATATCTTTCGATTTGTGCGGTTATTACAAGTTCCTATATCTGTCTCTG